TGGTTAATTGTTTGACAGCACTAATATATATATATATATATATATATATATATATACAGCAGGTGAAATAAGTATTGAACATGTCACCATTGTTCTCAGTAAACATATTTCTAAAGGTGCTGTTGACTTGAAATGTTAACCAGATGTCGGTAACAACCCAAGTAATACATACATAAAAAGAAAACAAAACAAATAAGTTCAGAAATTAAAGTGCCCCTATTATGGTTTTTTTTTTTACCTTTCATGCCGTGTGTAACACAGCTCTAAGTGAATGAAAACATCCTGCAAATTTTAAATCTGAAAGTGCACCGTGTATAAAGTTATTGTCTCTCAAAGAAAGAGTCGACTCTGAATCATTGAAACTAGTCGTTTTTAAAACGAATGCCAAGCAGTGTTTTGGGGACTCCCAAAACCAAAATATGAACCTTTCATTACCCATAATAGGGGCACTTTAAGTTATGTGTAATAAAATGGAATAACACAGGGAAAAGTATTGAACACATGAAAAAAGGTCGCTGCAAAAAGGCATGGAAAGCTGCTAGAATGGCCCAGCCAATCACCTGACTTGAATCAAATAAAAACTAAAGATCAGAGTTCATAGAAGAGGCCCACAGAACCTTCAAGATTTGAAGAGTCTGTTGAAGAATGGGCCAAAATCACACCTGAGCAATGCATGCCACTAGTTTCTTGAAGCTGTCATTACCAACAAAGGCTTTTGTACAAACTATTAAATACATTTCAGTAGTTCAATACCTTTTCCCCTGTGTCATTTCATTTTATTACACACAACTTAATTTCTGAAAAAAGATATACAGGTATGGAGCAACATTTAGGTGTGTAAATTTTTTTTTTTTTTTTTTTTTTGTGGGGCCATGTTCATTACGCAGTATACTGTATTGCAAAATAGTGCATGGCACATGTCAGCATGGGTGATAATAAAATTATTATGAAAATATGCTAATTAATTGGTCAGTGTGAAAACGCTGGATGTCTGAACAAGCACATAATTAATAAGTGTTTCCTTCATGGAGTCCATGTATGAAGTGCGATGTTCCTAAACTGAATGATTACTATTTATTTACATACATATTTGCTGTTATAGTGTTGGTTTCTGCTCAGACTAATGACTCTCTCCCTTTCTCCATTGCAGCTATAAAAACTCCAACACTGAGTAAAGCTACAGGTGATTTACGAGTAATTGTTGGTGTAATCCTGCCATTGCTGGCCATAGCTGCTGTTGGTCTGATTTACTGGAAATACAGGAACTCTAAACGAAATGAACCAAAGCGTAGGTATTACAGCTGATAAAGCAAGAGAAAAATAATGAGCTTTATTGTGCTTCTTTGGAGTTTAATGGTGTAAAATGTTTGTTCATAATCATGTTTCAAACATTTTGTGTTTGTGTGTGTGTGTGATGTGGCTCATTGCCAAACACCATTAGAAAAATGTTTTTTAATACAACAATTTGAAAGATGTTATACATTTGGTACTTTGCTTTAGATTGAAGGACTTTAATTAAATTTATGTGCAACCTTTAACACACACTTTATTAATAACACATCACTGAAATGTATAGGTAGGCTGTACTGTGTGTATACATAATGAATAATTGACTACTGGCTGTTTTTATATTGTTCAATAATTCTGCAGTCATGCGCCAGTGTTCTAGTGCGTCTCATTTTCTATTTGCTGCTGTGAAAGTTTCGCTGTGATCGTGCCAGTGAAAGAGGGAGATTTTGTCACTAAACCCTGAAATATGATACTGTGGATGTTTACACCTTGAGACTGTCTTGTAGGTAAAAACAGAGAAAGGGCCAGAGAGACATGCGAAGATGCGAAATTCAGAGACGGACTGATGCCGGATGAGAAGATTGGATCATCAGAAATGATTGATTATAGATTATCAATCGTCAAAAGTGGAGAAACATAATTCAAGAGATTCTGTGTCTTTGGTGAGTAATTTAAACCTTTTCTGTAATAATGAATTTATTTTAGATCAACACTCGTTTAGTTGAAGCACTATGGATTTTTATGACTAAATGAATCGTGATTTGAAATGTGTACATCTTGACTTTCTAGACTAAATAATACAAATACAAATATGAACCTTTTTCACCAAAGAAATGTGCCAATCCGGCACCACAGGGAACTGCCCAATCACAGCGCCTAACAACCCTCTTAATGCTTTGTTTTGCAAATGTTGGCATACTCTTAGAAGAAGTGCCCTGCAATTGCATGCCTGATAGGACAATAATATATGAATTGGTACCCGCCATGCTGCATTTGGCTGGTAGGCGGGTGTTAATTTCTTCCCTCAGTATGTACACACAAAAGCACCGCTCCTTTTTAGTTGATTGTAATTTTTTTTTCTTTTATTATCTTGTGTGTTTTCCATTAGGTTCCAGTGTAGCAAGAATAATTTGGTCAGAAGAGATAAACATGCCTTGATGTTGATACTTCCAACAGCTTTATTCAAAATCTAAACTAAAACCATGTATACTGCATACATGTATATGCATATATACATCCTATTGTTTATGATATATCTGTTCTGAAATGTATAAAATGTGTAAACAACTGCATATTATTATTATTGTAAATACCAATCATCTTGGAAAGCACTAGGATATCAGTGCTATTTTCTTTTTGTATTTAATTGCTTTTCTTGTAAATTAATAAATAAATATGAATAAATAATACAAATAATAATAAATTCTCCTCCCTTTATGTGACACCCTGTTCTGCTTTGCTACTAATAATGTAAAATGTATCTGCAGTTTCTGAAACTGATCACTAGAGGTCATCACACAGATTGCACTGTAATGCTCAATCTGCAACTGTTCAGGTCAGGCATCTAAATAAACCTCCTAAACTTCTAACAAGAGTCTTATCAAAGGATTTTGTTCTTAGAAGAAGATTCACTAGGTTAGTGACACGTGCCACCTGATTGTATTTAATTAGTTGGTAGTAAGAGTAGTTTATTTAGGGTGTCCTTGACACTGAAGATTTTTCTTTCTATGTAATTTAGGGGTTTGTTTGTGAATATTAATGGTTGAGTTAGATTAGAAGTTTTTATTCTTAGTAAGATTAGTTATGTTTTGTTTATTTTTTTGATTTGGCACGGTCTCGTTCTTTTCTCTTTTCCCCTGGTTTTTTTTTGTGAACCTGTTTGCTTGGTTATAAAGTGTACATAATTTGTAAATTTATGTAAATAATATCTTGGGCTAACTTGTGGTCACTGTAATAAACAGACGTTTTGCCGAATTCAGAATGTTTTGCGTGTGATCGTTTTCCAGTACACGTCCCATGTTTTGATGTTGCACCCCTTACTTCCCCTAGACTTAAAGGGGTTTGTAACAGTTTCATATAATAAAGCATATCATGGCCCATCAGTAATATATTGGGCCCTCTGATCTGAGGCAGTTGCTGTCAAGCTGCATTATTTTCTTATTACTGTTTATTTTTTATTTTATCAGCTCGTCTGCTTGTTCCTGTCATCAGCAGTAACTCTTCACTGTTCTTCATCATCATCCTCACAGCAGAATTGTTCATTGGTGTGTTCAGTGGTGAATGTGGGTCATGTGACTCTCTCCTGGTACAAAGGAAACAGTTTATTGTCCAGCATCAGTGTGTCTGATCTCAGCATCAGTCTCTCTCTACCTCTGGAGACCTACCTACAGCTGTGTGCTCAACAATTGTCACTTTGTCTCATCGTGTTCATGATGTGTGCTTCTGTGTTGTATAGCATATGTTACAAACGAAAGGGACAATATAAGTAAGCTCAGTAAAAATGAAAGATACTGGTTGGCGCTTCAACTTAAGAAAAGTCTTTCACACACACACAAACTGTGCTTTTTTATATATACATGTGCATGCATACACACACTATCCCTAGCCAAAGACAATATGTGTGACGCTGCTGCTGCTTTGCTTAGGAACTTTTTTTTTCTGTTTTGTTTACTGGGACTGAAAAATGAGATGCATTCACCTTGGCTGCGTTTGTCTAGTGTATAGTCATGCATAGCTATGGCATATGACAAAACAAATTACATTTTGTTTGTTTTAATGAAAAATATAATGAATTATTGGTCAGCATTTATCATTATTATTTTTCATTTATTACAAATATTGCAAACGCTGAGGAAAACCGCACTAGGTATGTTTGTGGAGTTACTGATGGTATGACGTGTTAGTGCATCTGTCCCTCTTATCTTCTTTTTATTATTATTACTGCAGAACTTATAATTACATACAAGCTCAGGGAAAGATGGTTGTATCTTTAACAATGAACAATCATAATGACAAGAAACAGAAAACATAAATATAATGGGTTTGCGTACGTCGAAGTATGAGATTATATACACAGAAAAAATGGAACAATGACTAGGTTAAATATCTTTGAATAATCATAATATTCATATAATCAATGCATCAAAATATTGAATTTGTTGTTGTTGTTTATAAGCCGGAGGGATGAAACGAGAGTTAAATTCAAAAATAAAAAGAGGAAAACAAAGGAGATTTAAGCCAGTTTTGTGTGTAGATGAACAGTTTTACACATAAAATAAAGAAATTAATAACATATTTACGAGATAACGATTTTGGGTTTTCGTAATAAAAAATAATATCTTTAAGGATTAAACTGTGGGTCATTTAATAGAGTTAAAAATATAAAAACTTAAATCAACACAAAATGTATTGGTTATACTACAATCACAACAAAAGGGCAGCTGTTACTTCAACAAGACCACAAAATGAGGAAATTTCATCAACATGAAAATATTTACAGATAGATGAATTAAACATGTCGCTCATATCTTTTTTTATTTTTTTTATTATCAACAAGTATACAAAAATATACAACCATAGTAACAACAAAATCACAAAACAAAAAGAAATAAAGAACAAAAAAAAAAACATACAGGGCCAGGGGTAATATAAATTACATTATATAAAGTAAAGGTGCCTCAAAAGGCACTTTTTAACAACCAGGCACAGAGCATTCAGTCAACTGTACATGATAGGAAAGAACCAATATTATAAGATGCACACAATATTATCAATGTTAAGGCTTTAACATTGCTGGAGGTAGATATTGTACCCAAGTAATACTTCAGATCTTTACAAAAATATAAGAAATAGGGGCTTTACAGACAAAAATGTGCACTTATGTATAAAAAATTTAGCTAGCAAAATAAATAGATTTATTAGAAAATATGTGTCCTTTAGATTCTTATCAACATGATAAAAACCAAATAAAACATCCTTGTACAACAAAGGAAAATTGCCTAAGAGAGAAGAACGTATAAATAAACAGAATTTTTTCCAAAAAATTGTTACATGGGTACATTCCCAAAAAAGATGAGAGACAGACTCATCCACCATTCCACAAAAGGAACAAAGAGGATCCTTCTCCGGAAGCATTTTTTTAAATATAAACATTCACAGGGTAAACTCGATGAAGCAATTTAAAGGATACCTCTTTAAACTTGTTCGTAATTAAATATTTATTGGGTAAGGACCACACGCTCTTCCAAGGAATATCATGAAGATAATTACTCCAGTGAAATACAACAGAAGGAACAGTAGTTATATCATTCTGAAAAAGATGTTGAATCTTTCTATTCCCGAAAGAAGGGCTGAGCGCAAAGCAAATTTTCCCTATCACTGTTTCACAGGGATTAGTCATGGAAATAATGGAGGGTACAGAATCAACAGAGTTTTTTACAAATGCAATAGCTCCTCTGGGAATGGCGTCCATAACTATGGCAAAATCACGTGGGGTGACAGGAATACAATATTTTCTTAAGAACTCAGAATAAGAAAGTAAATAACCATTACTATTTAAAAGCTGAGAAACCAAAAAAAATATTATTTTTAAACCAATCAGGAAAAAAATATAGATTTATTTTTATAACAAATATCATGGTTATTTGCATGGGCTGAAGTTGTGTTTATATATTAAGTGCCAGGCCAATAGTATCTGCTTGTGGAAGTTTGATAATTTAATAGGTAGTTTAGAGATATTATTGTAGCGTTTGGACCGATCAAACACACGATTTTTCATTTGATTGAACAAATCAGTTATTCATTAGATTAACAAATCATCACAGTAAATAAACAGTAAATCACCGCGTGAAGCACGACCGCTCCGGTGCTCTCGTCGCCCTTCAGGATCTCGGGTATCTGCGCAGAAACATCGAGAACACGAGCAACAGGGAAACAGTGTGTGTGTGCACTTTACCTTCAGCTAACGTAGCATGGACGTGCCGGACGATGGAGTCTCCGATGATCACAGCGTCGCGTTCCGTCTCGCGGAGGGGAGCGAAGCGGTTCCGGGTGGAGATCTCGAAGACCGGAGGCGGCGGAGGGGGAGAGGTCGTCACCCGGGGCCTGGCTCGCGTCTTCCGTGGGGAGTGCACACAGGGTCCGTGGTGTCCCGGCGGCGGAGTGAAGGACATCTGGGAAAATCGCGTCCTGGGTGCACCGGGCCTGTGCAGAGAAATACACGGAGTAGAGGTGGTGGGAGAGTTAGCAGCGCGCTGTATACTTACCTCGGACTTGTGAGTGTCAGCCTGGGATGTTTCCAGCGCGGCTCTCCGCGCTCTCAGCTGGGTCTGCTTTGCCACCAGGTCCCGGATCTGCTTCTCCACGGCCTCCAGCTCGACCTGCACCGAATGCAGCTCGAACGTGTCCTCACCTGCACTCAAAGGTAGACAAACATCCGCCATTAAAGCAAGTAACAGTGAGTAAAACAATGGTAATGTGTGTGAATAGAGTATTAGTGTAAGCGAGATTAGCTGCTACCACGCTGGCGATGCTAGCGGGCTATATGCTAATAGCAGACTCGGAAAGTCAAAAATAGAACTAGTGATAACAAGGCGCTCTGATTGTTTTTGTTGTAGAATACGATAGGGGATATATTCACACGTTATAGAACTGAAAAAGGATGGTGTATAAAATTGATTTTAAGATAAAAAATTAGACGACAAAGAATTAACTTGACGGAGCTCAAACTCAAACCACACAGCAGCCATGATTACTGCGTTTCATTCTGCGATTAAAGCTTACTGCGTTAAGCTTTAACCCTTTCCTATTTTTTTCCTAAACTGTGTGTGTGTGTATGTGTATGTTAGACCAGTTTAAGTGTTTATGTGTATGTT